GACATTACTGTTTTATGACCTTGACTTATTGTGGTCACCTGGATAATATTTAAATCAACGTTATGGTCTCTCACTTACATTAAACCCGCCAAGAGACGTTCTAGAAAGGCTCTAGGAGATGAGTCAAACACAAAACACACACATCCACACACACAGCTTCTTTGGGGGAGGGGGTGTTGCTAAAAAATACTAAAAACAAAAAAACCACCCATTTGAAGCTTATGATTCCGGAAATTTATTAGGATTTTTTTCTCCATTAAGGAAGCTACATGCAAAAGATACAACATACAGAATATCTTTAAATAACACAACTCCCAGACAGGGACAGGGCAATTTTTTTTGGGGGGGGGGGTCATTCTGCCTTTGCTTTGCTATGTTCTATTTTTAATTTTTTTTTTTGTTCCTCTGCATGGAATTTCTGAGATGTTAGTGGATAGGGGACATGGGGTGCTGGGAGGGGTGGGAGAAAAGCAGAAAGCAGTACAAATACAAGACTTCAAGCAGATTCTTAGAGCGATTGGGAGGTAAAGACACAGAGAGGGTTTGGTGGAGACGCTGGGTGCTACGACAGACACACAAACACTAGCCGAACTTTCCAAAACGTCTATTATTCTAAGGAGGAAATGCAGCAAGGAAGAAGCGATTCTGACTGACTGTGCTCTGCGAGATTACAGACCCTCTCTGTTTGATTATTTTTCTTTTCTTCGCCTACAATTGGGTGGATTCGATCTTAATTTTGCACAGAGAACAGAATGCTGTGTGTGAGTGTGTGAGTGGGTGAGTGAGGGGCTGACACACACACCAGTCACACTCCCACCCCCATCTATGAGGGCATACACCACACCCCACACCCAAGCACCCCATTTCTCATGCTTTAGGTAGAAGCATCCTCGCAGCACGAACCATAGGTCCCTTGGAAGGAGAGTCTGAGGTCTTTGCCTTTTTTGCAGGCGCGTTGCATTTATACTCAGGGAGGAAAAAAAAAAAATATCACCAGGCACAAAGGGAGGAGGGGCGGGGAAAGGAAGGAGGAGGGAGGGGGAGGGGAGACCGCGCACTCAGGTGAAATTAAAATTGGAGGTCAGTTCCCGGATCCGATTCTCTCGGTTCATTTTCTTGAGTTTCATTCTGCGATTTTGAAACCAGATTTTGACTTGTCTGTCTGTAAGGTTAATGGTCTTGCTAATCTCCAGGCGGCGCTCTCGCGTCAAATACATATTGAACAGAAATTCTTTCTCCAATTCCAGCGTCTGGTGTTTAGTATAGGGGCACCTCTTCTTCCTTCCGCTCTTTGCTGTCAGCCAATTTCCTGTGGTGTTTTCTGCCTTTATCTCCTCTGTTAAAAATAACATTATTTACATAAGTATCCCTCGAAGATGCAAATCCTCCCAGCAGGGCTGCAGCCTTTGCCAGCCTGCTGTTGGGGCGATTGAGGGAGCAGAGGGGAGCTGCTCTCACCCCACAGGCCTAGCCAGTGGGATCCTCTTGGGGACAAGACTTTTAGAATTTCTTTGGGTCTAGACTTACAGGGAAAAAAGGGTGCAGGTTCTTGCCTTTCAAACATTCATTTAATCTAAATCACCCAAGTCCACATTAATCTATCAGATCCTGAGTATTCTCACTTTTCTCAGCTTGCTCACCCTGGTGGGTTCCTTTAAGCCTCTCCAGGGCCTCCCTCAACTCTGTTCTTCTCCAGCTCTGGAAAATTCCAACCAAACTGAAGAGTATTTTCCAGGCCCCAGACCCAAGTGCAGAGTCCACCCCAGAGCCCAGAGTCAATTTCCAAAGAGCTTTGGCCTTTCAACTCAGTGGAGGGACTTTGTTCCAGCCTCTGCAGCCAGAGGCCACTGCATTGTCCCTGCACCAGGCTCCCAGCTCTAACTCCCACCTGAGTTGCCATAGAGTGACTGTGCTCTATTAGATCTCCCTGTTGCCATCTCTTTCTCTCCTGGCCATTTCCCCTAGGTGTGTGTAGCTGAAGCAGGGAAGCTTGTTGGAATAGTGAAGGTCAGGGGCAACAACTTTGTGGCAGGCCTAGGGGTCCTCAGACATATTCCCTGGCCAGAGGACCTAAAGTCAAGGAAGAGAGGAATCCCGAGATATTTTAGCCTACTAAAAATTTCCTGCCCAATCTGGGTGTAGATAGGTACATATGCTTGCAAATATACATGTATACCTGCAGAGATACACATTTGCATATTCATATGTACACATAGGAATGTACACATGTCCACTTATATGAGGAGATACTGTAGTGTAGTGTGTATTTCCTATTATCTTATTAACAGCTTCTCTCCCTGGCACACATTCTTTCTGAAATGGACCAGCCTTGCTCTTMAAGCAGCAGAAGGGAATTTGGCCATTTATTAAGGAAAAAATGTAGTCCAAAGACCTAAGAGGAGGCACCCAGCAAATAAGTCTGCTATGGTTCTGTGCTCTCTCTCTCCTCCTTATGCCAAAGGAAGCTGCCAGGTTCCAGGATCTTATCTTGATTGGGAGTGGGAAGGGAGTACTAAGGGAGCCAGAAAATACCAGAAGGATGCACACTGGAAACTGCAGTATAAAAATATCGATGTCTTTTGATTATTCTCCATCCTTTGCACCTGCCCCATCCTGCCAAATTGTGTACAGGCTCTATGCATATAACCCTGTCTTGTTTATTTTTCTTATTGGTGTTGGGTTTGGGGGGGAGGAGAGAAATTATAAATGGGGAAGTTCAGCCACAACCTGTCTTTGCCTCTGGCCTGATGGAGACACCAAAAAGGGAGGGAGACAAGAAGAGCACAGGCAGAGTACAGGCTAAGGGGATTARTTGGAATAGGAGGGTTTAGGTTGTGGTGTGGATAGCAGGAGAGAAAGAGGAGCTTATAGGGATGGGTGCAATTTGAGTTGGGAGATGGATTTGTTAACCTTGACTTTGCTTTTGGTGGGGCTAGGATACAACTTTTTCTACCATAAATCTGTGTCCCAATCAAGCTCAGTGTCTGTGGAGAGTGTATAAAATTAGACCTTCACAATGCATATGTACCACAAGGAAGGTTTCATGTGTGTAGCTGCCTCACTCTCCCTCTTATCCTCACAAACACACCAGTGGTCATCTTCTGGCCAGGATCTCTGTGGACTCATTTGCCAAGGCCACCTTTGTAAAGCTGACCAAAGAGAGTGAGGTTCTAYCCATTCCTGAAAAAAGAGTGCAGATATCTATGTGAGCGGGCATGAGTGAGTGTGTGAGGAACATGTCAGAGGGGTGTGTGAGTGTGACACAAGTCGCCGTCAGGCATGCGTGTGTGCGTCGCTTCCATATACAAAGCACCACAAGATCCAGCCCCCCCCCCAGTCTGCTCCACTCTCAATATTTCATCTACCTTTACACCCAATGAGCCCTTCTTATATACTGCTGCCAGTAGCCAGTGTCATAGGAAGCAGGTTTATTCCTCCCCGTTGGGCCTTTTCCGATGCTTTTTGCTCCAACTTTTCAGGGAAAGTCATTACCCTCAGCCTCCCTCCCCTGCTTATGTGTTTCCTCCACATTCTTTCCCCAGGTGTCAGAGAAAGATCCTAAAGGTCCCCAGTTCCTAGAGCAGAAATGAATCTTGAACCCTGAGCTTGAACTCTAGCTAGGCTTTCTCTCTCTAACCAAAGTCACAATGAAATCCAACCAAAGCCACACTCCCTTTCAGGAGAAAACCGCTTGCCACGCACACAGAATTTTCCAACCACTCATTTGTAAGCTGCTTTTGAAAACCAATGGGGAAAATGTAATTTAGCTAGGAAAACAAAACCAAAAAAAAAAAAAAAAGGAAAAGAAAAAAATTTAAAGGAGGAAACCACCACCAMCAACAACAACCAAAAAGAAAAACTTAAAACATTCCAAATGCCCTGTTTCAACGCCATCTCCTAGCCAAGCATCTGGAGGAGAGGGAGAGATGTGGCGGGCAGCCCTTCACCTCCACCTCTTCCGGCTTCAGCCCTCCAGTCTAAGGCCCCGGGGCCAGACAAGCCAAAAACCCAAGAAGCCCAAACCCTATGTACATCTCAAACCCACAAACAGCAAAACGCGTTTCGCAGGAAACAATTTTCAACTGGGAAAACGCAGTAAAGAGAAATCCCTCATCTCAAAAGCCTTCCCACTTCCTGGCCTATGATCGCCATTTTAAGCTTTTTGTGAGCTTTTGACCTAAGTGGGGCACAATCAGCCCCCCACCCCCAGGACACCAGTGTTGAGAAAGCAAACCAAAACCAGCACGCGCCCAGGAGCCATCATCCGTACTGGGCAGCACAGGGCGCCTGCAGGCTGCCTGTGGTGCGCACCGCCCCGCCTTAGCACCCATGGCCCGGGCTGGCCCGGCACCTCCACATCGCCGCTTACCTTCCCAGCTAATGACGCGCTACCAGCCTGGCGCCCTGCAGACATCAGTCGCAAACCGTGGTCGCCTTCCCAGGACCTCCGGTTTTCGAGGCCTCAGCCCAACCCTCCCCCCTGCCCCTGTCCTGGTCACGAAGACCAAGTGCCAGAGCGTCCCAGCCCGGCCCGCGGCCCAGGCGGCCTTACCTTTCGCTTCGTTATCCGAGGTATCTGGGCTGGAGTCCGCAGTCTTGGCCCGCTCCTTTTCGCTCTCCGAGGGGCTGCTTTTGGGGCCCGCCAGGCTCTGCTCGGTCTTGATCTCATTGGGGCTAGGGGTCTGGCTGTCGGACTTGGGGGTCTCAGGGAAACTCACTTTGCCCCCGAGCTGAGGCGATTCCAGATGTTCGGCGCGCGGGTTAAGACTGGCCCGCTGCTCGAAAGGGGCTTCGAAGTCGTTGGCCCCGGCGCAGTGGGGCGTCTTGTCCAGCGCCGAGTAGCTCGGGCTGGCGCGGTAGTAGCTGGGGACGGGCACCTCGTGTTCCCCGAGGCAGGACTCCGGCAGGGGGTGGGAGTAGAGAGCTGCCTCGGGGCCACTTTTCGCCCGCTTCTCTGCGCTGTACATGCAGCAGACATTCTCCTCCTTGACACTAGGTGGGTAGGAGCAAGAGGACAGCGGCCTGCCAACAGGTTGTTCCAGGCGGTAGGCGGCTTTGGGGTCGCCCCAGGAGTCCAGCTGAGAGAGGTAGGACGGGTAGGTGTTGAGGGCGAGGTTGGGACTGCCGCCCTCGTCCCTTTTGGAGAGCGAGGGCGCGAGCCCGCAGCCTCTCATCACCCCGCAGTTGAAGTCACTCCCAGATTGCATATACATGCCTGCGCTCCGGCTATAGCGCTCTCCTCCGCCCGGCGCAGCCAAGGGCTCCGCGTACGAGTTCGGAGTTACATTGCGAGGGCATGTCATTTTCAGAGAGAGGGGTTTTTAAGGAGCAATACTACAGCGGAGGAGCTGACATCTTTTTTTTCCCCCATCCGGGAAGGGGGGGCGGTTGGAGGGGCGGGAGGAAAAAGAAGGGGAGGGGGGGGAAATATCAGCTCCATAATTATCCGCGCATTCGGTCCTCACCATGTGACGGCTAGACCAATGGGATTTGAAAATGGCCTTGATGATTCAGACGGCCGTGACGTCAGCGGGGTCAAGTTGTCGGCAGGCGGAGCGCTCAGCATGGAGTAACAGCGCCACCTAGCAGCTGCCTCGGGGTAGGGGCACTGGAGCCCTTCCCCGCGAACAAAGGAAGCGCCCCCCAGGCGGCAGGGGCGGTGGGGGGGAGGGTGGAGGGAGATGGGGGCGTTCTGGGTAGAGTGGGGTTTGTTTACCCGGGAACCAGCCGGTAACTCCTGGGGAGAGGAGGGAGGAGAGGGGGGAAATGAGGGAAAGTGGGAGAGAGAGGCAACGGGGCTCAAAACAAATTCAAATTAAAAGGTCAAGACACGATTCAGGTACTTCTTCCCTTCTCTTCACCTCCCCTTTTCCTTTTCTCAGCCCCCACCCAATCTTCTCTTGGGGTGGGAGCAGGATGAAGTTTTTTGGGGGGTTGGAGGGGAGTTGGGAGGTGAAGGGTGCTCCTGCGGGCAGAGAAAGAGAAAGTTAAAGAATCCCAAACAGGACTAAAGTTTCAGCTGCCTGTGCTCTGCTTTCTCGGGCTTGGCCTTTTGGGTCTGGGAGTTCGGGGACCGACCGTCTGGGAGGTTGGTCGAGTTGCAAGTTCCCTGTGGGAGTTGCCTGGAAATCTCCAGTGTCTGGGGTGGGTCAGGGAGGGGGTCACGGTCACCTTAGGGCTGCTGGAGAAAGGAGGTTCCTAGTGGATGTAGGGATCCCTGGAGGGAGAAGCCCAGGACCCGAGGTCCCCGCTCCCTCACCCCGGAGCTGTGGCCCGGGCCTGGCTGGGCGGGCAGCTCCTGGGTCACTATCTCAGGACTTTGGCCTTGGAGCTGGTTCGGCCGCTTTGCTCCAGGCACTAGCGACCCTTGCTTTCCGCTTGAACTTGTCCCTACTAAAACAGGGAATATTTCTGAAGAAAAAGACCGAACCTGCAGGGACTTTGATCGGATTCGGGGAGTCGCATATCAACACGAAAAATGAGGACATCGGACGTAACCAAATCCGACCCAGAGCCATTGGGCTGGAAGCATTTTTATTTTTTTTTAAAGGAGAAGTGAGGCCGGTCTGTTTTTGTTATTGTTGTTATTGTTTAATAAAGGGAAGGAAAAAAAGGGAAATACATGTTTCAAATAGTTCTTTCCGTTTCTCCATCGCTTTTCTCCCAAAGCGAACAAAACTCTCCACCCCTTCCTCAGGAAACGGAATCAGGAGAATAACTTGTCTTTCCGGTAGCCCCGCATTTTTCTCTGGACAGAGCCTGGGGTTTCGACTTTCCGAAGTGCTGAAGCCAAGCCGGGAAAGGACCCTAACGCCGAGCGCCCTGGCGTGGTCGAGTAAGGAGGCTGGACCGCTTCTAGGGAGGCCCAAGCCAGCGCGGCCAGAAGAGGACTGTGGAAAAAAATCTGCTGAATTCCCTCACCCACGGACTGAAAGACAAGGCGCAGGGGTCCCTGAACCCCCAGAAAATTGGAAGGAGATATGGAGTGTGTGACTTGCTTGCAGAACGGACAGGGGAGATTTGAAATTAGTTTTGTGTTTTCATTTGCAGGGGTCGCCTGGCCTCAGCATGGGGGTTGTCCCGGGCAAGGTTAGGCTGTTTAGGCCCCAGACCAGACTTGGGACAGCCTGGGCAGTAGTCAATCCAGGGAGCCATTTGTCCCACCGCCCATCCCCGGGGAAACAGCCCAGACTTTATGGCCACTCTGTTTGTATTATCTGCATAAGTCTTTCCCCACCAGTTTGATCGAAACCGTTCCCTTTTACGAGGACCCAACGAAAATTTCCCGTCATATTTATCAGCTGAGGATAAAAATTTAGTATGGGAACTGATATTTCCTCATTTATGGGACGATGAAATTAAAGACCAAAGCAATTGAGAATTATATGGCTTTGGGGGGTTCCCTCCCCCCTCTTTCATGTCTCCTTTATTTTCCTGCCTGGTTTGTCTGTCCCTGGAGTTTGTTTTCCCAATCCCCTGCCCTTGTCCCCTGTTTTGGAGTCTAATGGTCCCTTCCCCCTGACCAGGTGCTGCCTAGCTACCTAAGATTTTTCTGGCCTTTTTCTCTGTGTTAGTGGCTGAGGGCTGGAGCAGCACTCTCTCTCCGATCCCCTACCCAGGCCAGGCTGGGACTGATGGAAGGTGATGAGGGAAGAGCCTCCAAGATGAATCCAAGCCCAGCCTGGGAGGGGATGGTAGGAGTCCCAGAAGAGGGTGAAAGAGATAAATTCTCAAAAACAAGTCCCCAGGCAAAAGCTGAAGAGCCGGCAGGAGAGGAACAAAATCACTGGGCCTCCAGTCTCTCTCCCCCTTACCAGCCTGACCCCCATCCCAAATCTACCACCTACCTCAGCCAGGGGAAGGGATAGAGTTGCTTCAGAATCCTTGCTATTATTAATGGAAATAATACCCTTGGGAGAAAGCCTCCCACCTCCTCACAAGAACGGATAGTGTTTAAAGTTGAAATAATTAGAAGTATGATAAACACGGCCCATTAATGGAAAAAGAAATCAAATTCATCAGCTTAAGTGGGACCCCCGGTGGGACAAATGTTTGCCTCTAATTACTCAAGATAAACGAAAACCCAGAGCCGTTAAACAAGAGCCCGCTCTTGCTCGGACAGTCACAGACTTGAATAACTTGTTGGGTTTTTGCAGACTTTGGGATTCTACCTCAGTGAAGGTAAAAGGAAGAAAGAAGTAAGAAAGAGTGGGCCAGGCGAAAAGAGTATTTGTGTGGCTCCAAAGAAGTCCAGCCTGGTCTGGTTCCCAGCCCTGCCCCCTTGGGCTCCGTCTTTCCCGAGGCCATGAGCAAAGGCAGTTTCCATCCTATTGTCTGGGCCTGGCGTTCAAAGGCATGCTGGCCACCACAGTCACCCCGCCTGCCACTACTGCCAGGTGCCCACCAGCTCTGCTCACAGGACCAAGACTCTCAGCCTGCACCCTTGGCAACTGGATTGGGGCTTAGGAGAAGTCTGTGTCACCCCTGTACCAATTCTTATTAAGCCACTCTCCAACTTCCCGAGATTGCGGAGAGACCTGCACCTAAGACTGACTCTGGGATTCTTCTTACCTCAGCTTGGGGACCCAAATATCCATGGCTGCAGGCCAGAGTTGGGGCTCAGGCTCTGCATGTTCTGGACAAATCTCACCCGCCCCAGAAGCCCTGGCATCTTTTGCTCTTCGTGCCTGGTACCCAGACTCTGAAGGGGCAGCAAGGACGGGCCTGGGCCTCCTGCCGGCTGAGGGTTTCTGAGTAAGGGAGACAAGGAGGGTTTCCAGAGCTCCTGGCATGCTCCAGGAGGATCCAGTGGTTCCACATAGCAGGCCAAGGGCTGAGGCATGAGGGGTCCCCATTAAAAGCAGAAGAAAGTGTCGTACTCAACGGACAGAAAGGAAATTCGGCTGTTTTCCGGGCCGTAGCCCTCAGGTCACCCCAGAAGCACCATGATTTCTCCAGTGAAAATTGTCTGTTTCCCCAAGTGTTTAAGGAAGTCATCTGGGAAATTTTAGAGATGAAATGAAAAAGGAAAGGTGTCTCTTCCGTTGGGATAAAATAATAAAAATAAAATGTGTGTACAGAAATATCTTCAAGCGAAACAGAAAATAAAATCACACCAGAGATTGCAGGGTTTTTCCACTTGTTTTGGAGGCTGAGATAAATCATTCTCTTCCCAAATCTTGAAGGAAAGGTTGACTTTTCTTCACTTAGCACCAGGCTCTGCCCCAGCTGAATCGAGGGCCAGGAAATTCCAGGCAAAATGTGGCATGTTCGGAGGTCCAGAAAAACAGTTTTCAGACAGGTACGGAGGTAAGAGGCTGAGGACAATTAAAGGGGCCTTCGGTCTACTTCGGATCTCACAGCCAGGCCGGCGGGCCCAGCCAGCCAAATCCCTCTCACATCTGGATGTTGTACACACTTGCACCCAGATGCTGTGGACTTTAGCATCTACACACATGTCCAACTTGCACTTAATTGACTCTACACAGCCACAAATATTCACTTTTACCCAAAGTGCTCCCTGAGAACCTTGAATCCTGGAGTCTGATAACCCGCACCAGCCGGGCTGCTTCTGTCTTGCCRAAGCCAACCAGTTATTTAACTTTGCTTCCTGAATCGAAACCAGACTGCAAATACCGCCAAGAGAAGCTTTGGGAGGAGGAGCTGGATGGGAGGATATCTTGGGGGGAAGGCCCCGGTCCCCACTTTAATGGTTTGTTTCTAGGTTGCCCCAGTAGGTCAGGTTTCCAGCCAGTGTAAGGACTGTGGTTGGGCGGGTTTGCTCCGGAGAAAAACCCGATCCTCCTTCTCGGGGTTAAGTTCCATTTTCAAGATCTTGATTTCTTTCTCTTTTTCTTTTTTAGTACTTTCTTTGATTTGTTCATTCTGTCTTTCTTTTTTTCCATCCTCCTCTTTTTTTCTTTACTTGCTTCCTTTTCTGTTTTTCGTTTCCTGTTTTCTGCAATTCCTTTTTCTTTTCTCTTTTTCTGATCCATTCTCTCTCTTAATATGTTGTCTTCCTTATTTCACCATTTCTCTTTTTCTTCTTTCTTCATTATACAGTTTCTTTTTTGTTCTTTTCTTTCCTCCTCAATTCTTTCTTTTCCTTTCTTGACTTTCTTTCCTAGGCTTTCTTATTTTTCTCTGGTGTGCTGGGCTCAGTTGGGGTGAAAACACTAGGCTCAGTTGCACGCCTCCCCAGCACAGCTACTCAGGCTTGGAGTTGACCTTCTCCCGTCTTCAGCCTCAGCTCGGCTTCTCACAAGGCGAAGTGTAGGACGGCCAGCCAGCGACCAGCAGCCAGGCCTCAGCAGTCGCCATTAGAGGAAAGGAAAAGCTGGCTCTGAGGCACGTCCCCACTAATGCCTGATGGTTCCCTGAAGTGCCAGGTTCTGGGGGTAAGGTATTTTAATTTCCATCACCCCAAAGGAGCTTTGTTCAGCAGGCCTGCTGTTTTTAACCTGACTTTCAGAGCTGAACATTAAAATGGCCCAAAGTTGAGCCCAATTGGTGCCCTCAAGGCTGGAGAGAAATGAAGGAGGAGGTTGCCTGTTACAGGTGTGGGTCAGGTCCAAGGAGTTATTCTTAGGCTTGGCAGCCCCAGGCCTTGTCCCCACATGGGTATCTTTGTTCTCTGTGGTTCTGGACGGCAACCCTAATGGACTTCTGTCCTCTTTAGTCTTGCAACAACTGCAACCCCTGGGCAAGAGTTTCTGGGCATTTTGGGTACTGTCTTTCTTCTAACCTTTTTTTTTTTTTTAATTTCACAGGCAGCAGGGATGCAAGATTATGTGAAAAGACCATCCCTAAGCAGCAGTTTGAGTCAAGGTTATGGGTCTTCTCTGCTTTGTGCAGTGGTTTATGGGGGACATGAGCAGGGCTGTGTGTGTGGCAGGGTTGAGGGACAGAATGGTGTCTGGAGGACAATAAGAGGGTGTGGTGGGGAGTCTTTTGTCCTGGGGACATTATCCAAACTTTGGAGGTCTATAAGGTTGTATCTTAAGAGCATAGTGAACAGGACTTTCCTGAAGTCCTGCAGCCTCTGTTTGCTGGCAGCCCCCAAAGGCAGGTCCAAGGTGGGCCTTTGGAAGGACTGTCCCCGACCTTCAAGCCTTTTTGCCTTCAGCAAAGAAAGACAGCTCCCCCCCCCACACACACACCCAGACAATGGAGTCCCAGAGTCCTTTCCATCTCTTCCACTCTCAAAGATCTTAGATGCCAGGCTATGGCAGGACCAAAACTTTTAAGTTTTTTTTTTTTTAAGGGAGGGGGAATCTTGTAAAACTTTTATGCCAAACAAAGTTATAAAAACTTCCCAGGCGTTGCCTTTTCCAAAGGTTTATATGAATAATAAAGAGTGTAGTCGCGTGCACAGAGTTCTGGCCTGCCCCAAGCAGGCAGGATTTAGCAAACTGCATTATTTAGCCTTGGGGCACAGGAAACCCCAGGGGCTGCCCTCTTCAGGGAATATTAGTCCCGAAAGGAATTGCCCTACAGATTCCAGAGAGAGGAGGGGTGGGGGGAGAAGGGGTGGTGCCCTTGACTCCCTTGAAGTTCAAAGTTCTTCTTTGCCCTAATGAAAAAAGTACTCTCTGTCCACTCAGGCCACTCAAGAAATTAGCCCAAGGTTGTTTCTTTTCTCTTAGTGAGGACTGACTGCAAGTAACCCCAGCTCTGTTCACCTTTCAGACCCTGGTCTACCCTTTTTTTTGCTTTCCCCCAAACAAGGCTCCTCAGCTTCTCCATCTGGGAGGCTTAGAATCCATGCTCTCAGAGGTGCTTAATGGGGGTTGTCAGTCTTCTTCTAAGGGACCCTTGCATTGCCATTCCCCACCACCCTAAGTGTCTGAGTGACAAAGAAACCCCAAACCCAAGGCTACCCCCAAACCCACATCTCCCTTTGAGTGCCTCTGGCTCCTCTGCACCCCCAAAGCCCATAGTGGGAGGGGAAGGGGCCCAGAGTTCTCTGTCAGCCCACACCACTTAATACCCTTGTAAACTCCCACGTGCGCTATAAACTTGGATTTTTACAACCAACATTCCTCCTTAGCTCCGGGAAACTTTGAACTCGGCCTCGGGTTTATTTACTTGGGCAGGGGGGAGCTGGGAGCTGAGAAAGGATAGTGAAAAAGAGGGAAAATGTGGGGCAAGGAGATGATGGGGTGGGGGTCTGGGGTGTGTTGGGAGAGCTAAGATGGTCCACTTCGGGTTTGTTTACTATTTAGGGCGGAAGCGTTTTTTTAACACAGGCCAGACTGGGTCGTTAAGAGCGAAATGAATCTGGGTTTAGAGGCGCGGGGTGGGGGTTGGGGGGGGCGCTTTATGGCGGCGTCTAGACGAGGATCTTTTGTTCCCGGGCAGCGCTGTGGCTGGAGGGGATTACCCCAAGAGGTCGCGTCCAGAGTGCCCCTGGTCTGCAAGGGGGGTTGGACATTCAGAAGTCTGAAGGTGGGTTTCTTGGGGGCCAGAGACCCCTGTTTTTCCTTTTTAGAAGATCACCAAGGCAGGTTCCTGGGCCTGGGTCACAGAAGTCTTTGTTTTTCTTTCACAAAGACTCTCCTCTCATCCTTCAGAAATCTCTTCTGGAGTTGAAAATCTTTTCTGGGTTGCACGTTGCAGAGAAAGTGGTAGCTGACAGTTTTGAACTTTTTTTCCTCCAAAAATCAGGAGCCCTTTAAAGGTTAATAGTTTGCTTTATAAACTGTTCATTCTAAAGAGTTCTCTCCATCCTCCCTCCTTTACAGGAAACACGGCCAACAGGCTGATGGTCCCTGATATGGCTAGTGGACAAACATTATACCTAGAGAAGTGCCACGCAGGCTCAGTTTGTGCTCCTGTCCACACTCATTAAACACTGCCAATGGTTACACACTATGGGTGACACACTCTGTACTACAGGTAAAAGTGTACAGTTAATATTCCTTCTCACATTCATTCATAGGCACCCTGACTTCAACAAAATGTGCGGGGGCACATGAAAGAATTGTGGGCCACATATACACAACAGTTGTCTCAAGGACCCACGTTTACAATTAAGAGATTCAGACACCTAAGCTGCAGGGTCTCCTGCCATCAACAATAACAGCAGAACTCAGGTTTGATAATTATGGTGCTTTTCCATTTCATTCAACACATGGATAATAACATTTTTAAATTACACAAGAACAGAGAGTGGAAAGATGAGAGAATTGGTCCTGAACCTTTGCTCCCAAGTAACATATTTATAAAAGAGATGACCAAGTGGCGTCACTGAAAGTGTTGAAAGGACTGCGATTATGATTATAAGAAACGTGCATACTGGGTGTGGTGGTACATGCCTGTAATCCCAGCTACTTGGGAGGCTGAGGCAGGAGGATTGCAAAGTTGAAGGCAGCCTCTGCAATTTAGCAAGACCCCATCCCAAGATAAAAATAAAATAAAAAGGGCTAGGGATGTAGCTCAGTACTAGAGCGCTTGCCCAGTATGTGCCAGACCCAGGGTGCAATTCCCAGTATCAAAAAGAACGGGGGGAAGGAGAAAGAGGAAGAAAAGGAGAAGGAAGAAATGTGCAGCAAATACAAATGGGTGTGGTGACTAGCCCCATGGGTCACTTCCTTCCTCAGTATTCTATCCATGTCTGACATGAATGTCAGACACAGCTGGAGGCTTTTTACTCTGGGACACCTAAAATATAAAACATCAGAGTGGCTCCACTCTGGGTATCTGGTTGTGTCTGGAGGAGCCTGGCCATTTGTGCCAAAGGGGAAGGGGCCAGAGTCTACCTTCCCATCCTGAGAGGCTGTGGAGAGGACAAGGAGGGGGATGGCTCCTCTTCCTCTCCCCTCATTCCTCCAAAACTGTATACAAAATTTTCTATACCATCTTCTCATAGAGGAAAAAAAAAATACTTCACAAAAGCCCTACCCTCAACTCTACACATTTAACTGAGACAGACGGAGACATCTGGCAGGAGGACGGTGGAGCCAAGAAAATTCCTATAAATTTAAATTTGATGATGGTTACAATTAACTCCACAACGAACGTGTGCTTGAACGGAAAGCATTGCTGGCTGTTTGGACACAGCTTGAGCTTCACATGAGAAAGGAGATCTTAAGAGTAGCCCTGGAATGTCCTCTGTTTCAGAGAGGGAAGAAGCCACTGCCACACTCCTGACCCTGCCAGTGGAGAAGAGCTCTAGCATGGGCCTGCCTTGCCTCTGCAGGCTTGTGCCCACGGGTGGGGATCTCCTGCATTTTCCCTCCTCCTCCTCCTCCTCCTCCTCCTCCTCCTCCTCCTCCTCCTCCTCCTCTGCCTTGAGAGGATGGAGGATTTTAAGAGGAGAGGGGTTAATAAAAAGGTCAAATAAAAATCATAATATTGAACAGAATGAAATATCTTTATTTGCCACCAAAAAAAAAAAAAAATTAACAGCAACCCCTTTGGGTCGGGAGCAGGGTGGGGATTGCACATGTACACACGCACTCACGCACATGGAGGGAGATGGGTGATTTGAATTTCCTTCTGGCATGTCCTTTCCCATCCTCTCTCTGGTAGAAATAAAGGCTTGTGAAATTTATTTACAAAAATTCAGGCCCCAGCAAGGGGGAGGTGCCCAATTCCATTCCTATTGCCTCCTCCACCCCAATTTTCTCTTTTTTCCTCTTTATAAAAAAGAAAAGAAAAAGAAAAAAGGAAAGAAAAGAAAAAGTAAAAAAGGAGGTAATAACTGCAAAGACTACCTATAAATCCATGGAGTGGAGGGGGACACTGTTTGGAGAAAGGTTAGGACACCTCAGTGTGCCAGTTAAGAAATTTCAAAGAAGGGCTCTACACATTTAGGGGGAGAACAACTAGGTTTGGGAGGAGCCAGGGCGCAGACGGAGGTAGGACACGGACTTTGCACACCTAACACCAGGTCGAAGGTACAGGAATTTCACAGCAAGGCAGGATCACATTTAGTTGCCCCCTAACAGTGGGGCAAGGTGGGGTAGGAGTGGGGAGCCCGAGAGGTCCCCCCTTGCAAACAAGGTGTCTTAGTGGATCTGTTCACTTGGGCAAGGGAAGGCTTGTAGTTCAAGGATTGTTCAGCTCAGACGCCCATTACGCTCGCCCCTCCCTCCACCAAATCGGAGCAGCAAGACATTGTCGCGAGGTGTGTTTTCTTTTAAATAAAGAGTCTTGGGGCCTCGGCGCCAAAGGGATCCACTCGCCGTGAGTCAGACACTTCCCTTCACCTCCTTTTCCAGGCCGGTCTCTATCTCCACAGCGAGAGTCAGACCGAAGGTGAAGGAGGTTCCGGAAGGGAGTGCCAGCAACGGCGGTGGGGGCCAGCCCTGGCCAGTCCAGTTTTCCACCCGCGGAAAAAAGACGAGTTAGAAAATAAAAAATAAAAATAAAATAAAATAATTTCCCCCTTTCCCTCCCTCCCTCCCCCAAAAAGGGCCCCCGGTCTGCAGTTACAGCAGCGGATTTCCCGAAAAATACTGCAGCCGGTCTCTGCTTAGTTTTTTTTCTTTCATCCTCCTGTTCTGAAACCAAATTTTCACTTGTCGGTCCGTCAGGTTCAGCATCCGAGACAGCTGCAGCCGCTTCTCTTTGTTGATATACACGTTGAAGAAAAACTCTCGCTCCAGTTCCCGGATCTGGAATTTCGAATAAGGGCAGCGCTTCTTGCGGGTGCGGGGGGCGTCTGGAGGGAGGGGAGGAGGCAAGTGCGAGGAGAGGGGGAGAGAGACACGTGAGACCAGGGCGACCCCAGCCCAGCCCGCTGAGCGCTCAGCGGCCTTTCTCCCAGCCCGTCCGCTGGGCAGCCCTCCCGCCTGGCCCGCGGCTCTCCTCTTGCAGGCCGCAAAGCAGGGGTAAGCCTCGACCCCCTCGCCTGGTCTAGCTGCGGCCACTGAGCCACTGGCGCCCCACTGCCCTTCAGGCGGGAGCCTTAGCTGACAGGGTCTGGGGGGAAAGGAAAGCCTGCTGGGGCCACGTGCGTCTCCGGGAGCCCCTGGCCTGCTCTCAGGCAGCCCTGGGCGGCTCCATCACAGAGCTGCCCTCCTAAAGGTTCTGCTGAAAGTCCACTACCATCTCCCCCAGAAATCTGGGGGAACCGCGGAGAAAGAGGCGCACAAAGTATGACCTGGCGAGAACAGTGGGGAAGCCGAGAGGAAACCGGGGAGCAGGCACCTAGACACCCTAAAGTCTCTTCCGGGGGGGGGGGGCCTTGGTGCCCGGGGCCGCCCGCCGGGCCGCGCCTGCTATGCTGCCTCGCTAGGCCTGCACCGAGGCCGGAGACCGAGAAGGAACGCTGAGACCCCTGCCTAAAACACAGCGGAGCCGGGATCTTCCTCTCCTCCAGCCTCGGTCGCCGCTAAGCCCCTGGTTCTTTGGGTTTCTGCTCCAAGATTCGCGAAAACATCGTTTGAACATTTTTTTTTTWAAATTGATTTTAAAAAGAAGCAGAGCAACCCTGGCTCTCCTTCTCGGGTCTCAGGTTCTGCTCCATTGCTTCTTTCCTCCACCTCTCCCCCTCTCTGAGTTTCTCCCAGTCTTTCCCTCGCCCTCCCCTTTCTCCCCCTCCACCCCTCCCCTCCCTCCCACCCCCCGGCAACCCGGCTCCCCATCCTTCCTTAAATGCTCCTCTAAGTTCACGATCAAAGTTAATATCGCCCGCAATGGTGGCACTTTTAAAATTTTCACAGACCGAGGAAGATAACGGGGGAGGGGGGTTCACCCGGCTTTTCCAAAGAGCCCGTTTCCCTCCCTCCCACCCCTTCTCCATCGTAAAAAGTCGAGTCGTTGGGAGAGAGGGCTTTGTAGGTTATAATAAAATCCTTTGAATGCTTATAAAACTCCACATAAAATCGGACTGACCCAAAACACGAGGCTGTCCCTGCTCCCCTGGCCACCCCCCTACTCTAGCCCTCCCTCTCGTTCCCTCCCTTGCTGCCCGCCTGTTCCCGGCCGCTGCTACCTACTGGGGGCGGCTCCCTTGGCCGGCTCCTTGGTCGCCGAGTGGGCAGAACCGGACGAGCTGGGATTCGTGTTCTCCTCCTCGGCCTCCGCCTCGGCCCCCGCCTCAGCCCGGGACGCCAGTCCCGAGGCCGGGGGCGCTTCTGGCTCCCCCTTGGCCTCGCCCTTGCCGGAGCAGGGGGGCTCGGCGGGCGCGTCGCCGCCACCGCAGTAGGCGTTGTCGAAGAAACGGTCGAAGGCTTGAGGCAGGACGCTGTTCTTGTTGACTGAAGAGTAAAACCCGGCGGGGGCAGCATGTGGGGCGCTGGGGTGGTGGTGGCTGCCGTAGGAACCTTCGTTTTTCATGAGGATCTCAGTGACTGTGGAAGGAGGAAGGCACTCCCGGTGCATAAGCTCGTCGGCCGCGGCATAGCAGGAAGAGTAGCTGTTCCGATGGTGCCACTTGCCGGATGGCTCCAAGCCGTAGGAGACCTCCCGGACCGGGGGCACTTGGGCCGAGTAGGGATAGGAGATCTGACGAGAGGGGGCTTGGGGCAGGAAGGAGGAGACCGTGGAGAACTCGGGCACGTAGTATGTGCAACTGGGTAGATAGAGGTTGGAGGCGCAGCTCCCTCGCTCGCCGAAGTCAGCGCCCCTCTCTTTGCGCGACGGCGAGCAGAAGTTGCCCAGGTTGACCGAGTTAAACATCGTTCTCCTCTCCTGCCGGCTCCGGATGGAGGTTTTG